CAGGTCCACTGGTGGAACCTCTTCTAACCGGTTCGGTAGATTTGACGAACCGGTTCTACCGAATAGGTGCGAACTGGTAGGAACCCACCTCTGCCACTGGTACAGCAAAGGAAGGCTTAAGCTGTCTCTTTCATTGAGTTGGGGTTAAGATGCAAGCATCATCCTGGGGACACTGGGTAAAAAAAGATGTTGCCTGATATTTATGCTGTGGTTAGGTACAAATGGGAAGAGACTCTACAAACACCTGCTTTTATTGGCAAAAACTGCTTGGATCATACAAAGTGCTTTCAGTAAGTTTTAAAAGGTAACTAAACTTTTCTGCTGTTTATATAATTAACATCCCAAACTGGAGCAAAACAAAGATGGTAAAGTACTTTCTTCATCAAACTAACATTTAAGCTTGTTAGAGTTCACGAAACAAGGTTGATGCCTATGAATAAATGCCTATAGCTTTACCTGATTTTTTTTTAAAAGACCAATACAAGTATGTGACAATTCACCATCTGCTTACATCATTCCCACATAAAGTTAGTTACTTACCGGTGCAGCCGTTTTGTTAATGTTATACACGTTAATAACATTGTACAAGGCTAAAAATGACATGATCACTACTTTTATTCACAATGGTACTCATATTATCTTCATGGGGCACAACATTCATTTCTCTGAATAGGATCAGGAAACCAGTTGACAGTTTGTTTAAAGCATTACTCATCATGAGGGTAGTGCCTTTCTTCCAAAACAGGTCAACTTTGCATTTTAAATGCTACGCCAAATAATACACATATACGTTTCACTATGTACTCAAAGAACCTATATGTGTACCATGCAAGAATAAAAAGTAGTTTTAGAATTTGTGCAAGTGCATTGCCAAAAGAGAATGCAAAATAATGGCTCTTGCTCTGAAATTAATATGCTGCTTTCCTTTCTGAATTCCAGAAACTTAGAAGTACTTACACACTGATAATTTGTGTTTTCATGTCAGTGGGAAGTAACTGGTTAAATATGGTTTGCTGCTTATGCATATTCTATCTGCATCAGACATGAAAATGCTGCTTTCAGTTTTTGGTTGGTTTGGTCATAATTTTGGGGAAATGCTACAATTCATACTGCTCTCTATTTTACCTCATTTGAATAATCAGCTAGCTATGATTCATGCTAATAAAGCATTTCTGAATTTTTAGTTCTGAATTTGGCTCACAGTGTTAACAAATTTGGTTCCAAATTGTGAATCCTAGTATGAATATAACAAGGTGTCATGGAGAAAACAATGTGGATATAATTTCTTATGCCTTCATGTTCAGAAAATAAATTGGTATTAATGTATGCGTAGGCTAATTTAATTTTTATTTCAAAGTTATTAAATAAAAAGAGAGCATTCTGGAATGTACTAAGCACATCCAAGACCATAACAAACAAAACTGTCATTAACAGTTTTTTATTTATTTGCAGAAACTAAATGCATCTAGTTCATCTGAAGGTAGTACAGTTGATGTTGGACTTCCCCCAATTGGAGAACAACCTGAAGCTGAACCTGAAGAATCTCTTGAACCAGAAGCCTGTTTTACAGAAGGTGAATAATATAAAACATTGCAAATCTTTCAGTGACTCTCTTGAGGACCCCGGATCTAGCAAAGAACACAATTGGCATACAAAAGGAGATGTGCAGAGGCCTTCCTAGTCACAGCTGACTCTTCAAGCAAGAGCTGTGAGTCTAGGAAGACACCCGTATTGTGTACCAACCTTGAAGGGAGAGGTGGAACCAGTAATGGTTTCCTCTTATCTTCGCTACAGGTTCGGAACCGGGAGTGCTCATGCATGGCGCTTCTGCACATGTGCAGAACTTTCTGCGCATGCACAGAGCATCCGTGATGACGTCTGGGTGGGTGGATGGAGCTTCCTGCTATTGCTGCTACTGGTTCACGCGAACCAGGGCGAACTGGCAGAGTTCCACCTCTGGGTGGAACCCCATTCAAGATGGAATATTTCCAGATCTGAACAGTTCAAATATCCATAGCCATATCATATTCACTGGATTGAGTCAGAGACAGTTCGTCCCCATCCAAACCTCCAGGGACTGGGACAGAATCTTGAATCAACTGAAATACCTGTATACAAACTCTCAGTTGTGATAAATAATTTCCTTTGGGCCTCATTGAAACTGTCCCATGAAAACTGATTTTGACAACATAGTAGATTTCCAAAGCGTCATTTCAAATGTAGACCAATTAATTTTAGAATGAGAAAGGGCTCCAAAAACATCTGCTGGTTTAAGAATATATTCTGCTCAAGACATGTATTATAATTTTTATTCTGTTTTCATTGGCCATATCATTTTGCATATTTTGCCAGGCTGCATCCGGAAATTCAAGTGCTGCCAAGTCAGTTTAGAAGATGGGAAAGGAAAACTGTGGTGGAATCTTCGGAAGACTTGTTACAAAATCGTAGAACATAATTGGTTTGAGACTTTTATTGTCTTCATGATTCTCCTTAGCAGTGGTGCTCTGGTAATTTTTAGAACTTGAAAACCGTTCATTATCATAGAGATTTAGCATAGGAAATAACCCAGACACATAATTATCTGAAAACCTCTGAATTTTTAGTAGGGATTATCTTTTCTATGAGTCAGAGCTAAAGTAGTATGATTTTATTACTTAATTGTTAGAGTTATATCCATCTTTCAGTCAGAAACTCAAGGTGCTACCCATAGCATTCTGTCCTACCGTTGTTTCCTCACAATTACACCTCTACAAGTATATTTGACTGACAGAGCAATTAGTCACAGTCACAGTGAATTTATGCAGTTCAGGGTAGACTTGAAGCTGGGTTTAAATTGTTCCATATAATATTCCTACAGAAGAGGGTTGATTTTTGATGCTCTTTTAATCCCAAATAGCTTTACAGAGCAGATGCATGCATTTATTGTAAAGATTTTTCTTCTAAAAATGATATGCTAGTTAAGCAATATGGTCACAATAATATTAGATTTCTAAATTGTTCCAAAGGGGATAGCAATCCATACTTATATATTGGATTCATACTGGAACAATGTTTTAAACTCCACTGTGACTTCTCTGTGAGGGATTAAAGAGGGAAATAATCAGTCCGACTTTTTTAGATTTAGGACTTTGGGTCTAAAATCAAGATTACCATGACATTTGGCATTCCCACCTTTAAAAATTTTTTTTCATAACTTTATTTTTCTATGGAATGGAACAGAAGAAACATAAAGGGCTACATATGATCAAACAGCTTTATTTATCTTAGTTTGTGAAATTTGGGAGTAGAAATCCCAAGGAGATACCTTAATTTAATTAAAGATGTCAATGATTTAATCTCCAGTGCATTACATATAAAACATGTCATCAACCACCAAGGTATAGCTTCTACCAGTCAACTCTATAAAGTAGACTCTATAAGTATCAAAAATTCTTTTAATATTTTTATCATATTCTAATAAGTATATTGATTAAAGTGAAGCATTTGAGCCTTTCAATAGAAAGAGGGGAGGACTGGTTTTTAGTTCTAGAATTGGAAAGCAAACAATAAATAATCCATACTAAAACCAGGGGTTGGGGGGAACTTCTGTCCCCAGGCTTTCGAAGACATATACATTGAGCAGCGCAAGACTATCAAGACAGTCCTGGAATACGCAGACAAGGTCTTCACCTACATCTTCATTTTAGAAATGCTTCTGAAGTGGGTGGCTTATGGCTTTCAAGCCTATTTCACCAATGCCTGGTGCTGGCTAGATTTCCTCATTGTTGATGTAGGTATTTTTTTTTGTTTAACCAATTAATACATTGTAGCACAAATGTTTATAAGAATCATTGCATATACAATAAACTCACTACTTTCAGAAAAGGGAAACTTCTGCTTTCAGCTGGGTGAATAGTGTTCAGTAGAATTGCCACTGAGCGGGGTTCCCATGGTGAAGCACAACTTCTGGAACCAGAAATCTACAGAGAGGTAGAAGTGTGGTGCCCCTATCAACAGGAAGCTTGAAATGAGATGTGACAGGACATATGTAGATCCACAAAATTTAAAACTTTCCTATTTCCTTTATGATACTTGTGGAAGGATGTAAAGAATGGCCAAACATTGCTCCCTGCTTCACTACATTTGCTCATTTCAGCTATCTCAAGAGTGATATCTGATTCCTTTTCATCTGAGCACATGAGCAGTGGATAGGAACAGGTGGGCAGGCAAGGGAGAAAAGTCCACTCTTGTGCAAGAAGGACCCAGGGATACATTACTTCATCCTCTTTGGGAAGAGAAAGAAAGAAAGAGGGAGGGAGAGAGGCATGATAAGAGATAAAGAAAGAAAGAGGGAGAGAGGCATCTCCAACAAGATGGTGTTGGAGGAAAGTGTAAAAGAAGTGGACCTTAACAATGAACTGCAAAAAGTAATACTGCACATTCTAGAAGAATTAAAGCAGGCATGTCAAATTCGGTGGCGTCACGGCAGCATCGTGTGATGTATTAGGACTTTTCCCCCACTTCGCTAAACCGGGCAGCGCCAACACATGACGCATCCGCCCCGTGGGCCATGAGTTTGACATCCCTGAGTTAAAGGAAAGTCAAAGTAACTTTGTCTCTAGTTTCATATGTGCAGATTCTGATTTACTGTATTTTTGGACTATAAGACGCACCAAGATTTTGAAGAGGTAATATTTTTTTTAAAAAAATTGCACTCTGCAGGCCTCCTAAACCCTCTGCACGCCTTGTTTTTTGTGAAAAACTGGGCATGCAGAGAGTTTGAGAGGCCTGCAAAATGCTCCTGGGGGCTGGGAGGAGGCAAAAAGGAGCAAAAAATGGCCCGTTTTTTCAAACAATGGCCCCATTTTTGCAAAAAAACAGGACATGCACAAAAATGGCCCATTTTTCACTCGTTTTTTTGCCCTCTCCATCCCCCAGGAGCACTTTGCAGGCCTCCCAAACCCTCTGCACATCCATTTTTGTGAAGGGGGCAGGGTTTCAGGAGGCCCAAAATGCTGTATTCAGTGTATAAGACGCACCCAGATTTTCACCCTCTTTTTTGGGGGGGGGAAGGGTGCGTCTCATACTCTGAAAAATACGGTATATAATTCTCCTTTTTTCATGCATCTTTGAACATTATTACCCAAGATACTTCCAAGCAAGAGCAGACCATACAATCTTATTTTTTCTTTTGTACTATTTTTAGGTAGAATGTTTTTAACATCCTGCCTGTGGCTTCAGCTCTGTTTTAGGAATATTTTCCCCAGCAGCCTCTCGTTTCACAGGATGCTGATTAATGGGAAAGGAAAAGGTTTTATATTTCTAATCATATTTACCATATTTATATAGCCGCCTGGCTCACATGAAAGTGTCTCTGGGCCACTGGTAGCACTTAATTAATAAAAACAATCACATAAAAACTTCACAATTAAAATAACAAAAAGGCACATAAAACAGGGGAGGAGTAACACTAACTGCTATCGCAAGAGCCATTGCAAAATCTCCTTCAGCCCTTGGGACCTCCAGGCCTAATAATATAGCCAGGTCTTGAGAGACTTGCCAAATGTTGAGAGGGATAAACGGTTACCAGTATAAATGATTATGATTGCCAGTAAGTTTAACTTATAATTAACACTTGATTTATTGTTTCGACTCCCAGGTGGCTTTTTCTCTAGCACATGTCTCAAGCTCATATTAGTTACAGAAGACTGCACTATAGATTTTAGCTCGCCTTTATCATTCTCTCATTTCTGTGATTTACCAGTACGGAGTATGGGATTCCTATCTATCCAATGCACTGGGTGAAGCAAAGGGGTAAAGCTGCTGTGCTAAAGCAGATAGGCAGACAAGGCAGTATAAAAACAAAGGATTTGGAAGAGAGAAGTAACCTCCTCAGGGATTTTAGTTTTGGTTCCTGCAAGCAGGAGTCAGGAATGTATCAAAAACTGAAAGGAGTGAGCTAGAAATACCTAGGGGTTGGTGACTCCTCCATCATTCCATTTGAGATGGGTTATTGAGTAATAACAGAAACCCCCCTCCCCTCCCCCCTCCCCATGTAACATTGGTTTTAATGTTTGTTTTTTATTTTTTGTGCTTTAGCTTTTATGTAACTATAAGCCGCCCAGAGTTACCCTATGGTAAGATGGGTGGCCGGTAAATTTTATAAACAAATAAATAACATAAGATGGTCTAATTCCATAAGAGATGAACAAAAATAATAATTTCTACCCGTCCATTGTAACTGTTTCCTGCACAAATCCATTTTGAACTTCAGTTGTTGCAATTTGGCCAGGATGATTTTTTTAAAAAATATTGAGATATTGGTCAAATTGCTCATTTAGGACAACAATACGTAAACTAGCACAAGGCTGAAAAGCAGAAAATTATCAAATCTGTTAAAAAAAATATATTGCTGTATCTTCCTATAATTGATTCAGATCTGCCAACTGACTTTATGAGAAGTGTAACTTTGGAGCAAAATTTGGAGTAAACTTTGGAGTAAATAGAGAACCAGTTTGGTCTAGTCCATGGGTGTCAAACTTGCAGCGTCATGTTGCTATCACATGACATATCACAATGTTTTTTCCCTTCACGGAGCTGGGGTGGGCATGGCCTGTGTGTGAAGGATCCAGACCGCAGGCCACCAGTTTGACATCCCTGTCTAAGGCTACCAGGCTAGAAAGCCAGAGACTGTGTGTTTTAGTTTTTGGTTTAGCCATGAAAACCATCTGGGTCACTTTGTGCCAGTTATTTTCTCTCAGCCTTACTCACCTACAGCATTGTTGTTAGGAGGAAAGTATGTTGGATATATTTGCTGCCTTGAATTATTTGTAGACAATAAAGGCAGGCTACAAGTAAATAAATATAAAAATTATAAACTTCAAAGTAGGAGCAAAGATTCTTAGTTCATTTTCTTGCCGTGTCTTTCTTTTTAAAAAAAAAGCTTTTTTAAATTTTAATTGAACAAAACCCCCCAAAAAGAATCATCCTTCATTACATCTTGTAGAAAGCGTGTCAATTGGTTACAGGTAACTTTCATGCATTTCTTCCACAGTCATTACTTATAGTTCATATTCAATTATACACTTTAAATCAAAAATCTTTGTATA